TGTGGGATCCGACCCCTCTGCGGGAGCGCCACCGCGCTCCCAAGCGGCGCACTGTAGCAGTGCGCCACCGGGCCGGCCCCTAGAATAGGACAAATTTTATATCAAGTTTAAACTCAGGAAAGGAGCAGGGCAGTGTCAGTGCACTGAGTGCTTGCTTCTCGACCACCCCGGTTTCAAGAGTGAGTGAGTGCAGGTGTGACGGTGTCGCATGGTGGCAGCTGTGGGCCACAGTGAGACACAGTGAGTGTGGTTTTTGTGTTGCACCCCATCTGTGCTTCCAGGAAGCTTTGTGACTTGATGTGGGTGGGTTGTTTCTTTCATCAAGGCAGCATCTCTTGCTGTTGGGAAAGAAAGCTGAGAGGTTTTCTGTTGCGGAGGAGACTGGCAGGGTCTGGCTGACCTCTGTCCTGGAGGAGTTTGTAGTGATGGCTACGCTTGTGTGGTAACATCGCACAGCAGCACCTCCAATGTGTCGTGTCTACCTCAAGCCAGATATGGTTCTGCCCATGTTTCAGACAGATGATTTCTTGCGTGCACTGTGTTCTCTTCTTGCACCCTCAGTAAGGTGACTTCCCCTTGTATTCCTTTCCTGTGGCTGCTGACACAGGTCACCACAAACTAGGTGACTTAAAACATGGCATGGTTACCCTCCTGCAGTTTCGGAGGTCAGATGGCTGGTATCACTGTGAGAGGGCTAACATTGAGGTGTTGGCAGGGCTGCGTCCTTCTCCTTGACTTCCGCAGTTCTAGGGGCACTGGCCTGCCTTGGCTCGTGGCCCTGTCTTCCTGTCTGTGTAAGCCATATGGCTCGTGCTGAACACCTGCCTTCCCTCTGGGGGTCTGGAGTCTTGGTACATGCCAGGCAGAGGGTGCCCATGTGACCTGAAAGCCCTGGGCACTGGGAATCTAATGGGCTTCCCTGGCTGGCAGCATTTCTCAGGTATTGCTGTAACTAGATGCTGGAGGAATTTTGCATGTCCCTTGCCACTCTGCTGGGAGAAGATTCTGGAAGCTCCTGTCTGGTTTCCTCTGTTCTTTGCTACTGTGCCTTTTCCCTGTGCTGATTTTACTTTGAATCCAGTCACTGTCATAAGTCTTAGCTCTGAATGTGCCTATGTGCTGAGTCCTATGTGTCCTCCTAGGGGATCATCGAACCTGTGGGTGATTTGGGGGGTCCCTGACAGACTTCTTTTCAGTGACAACCAATACTTTTAATTACAAAGTAATACCCCTGGGATAATTAAATCAGTATTACATTTCTTTGCTTTATTTTGGTGGTGTTTTTGTCTCTGACCTCTGCAGTGTTATTGCTTAAGGTTGTTTCAGACTATGTGTTTCCCCACACAGTACTTTGTTCAACATAAATGAGCTGCGAGAGGGTAAGGTGACCCCTCTCCTTAAAGAGAACTTTCTGTAGCAGGGACTGGTGGGGGGTTAGACTAGGTCATCTGCAGGTGCCTTTGGACCTGAAGGCTGTAGCAGGCCCTGCTTTTCACACTCAGACTCTGCACATCCTGTTAAATGCAGATGTGGATGCACTTGGCCTGCGGTGGAGCCTGAGATCCACATTTCTGACAGGCTGCCAATCCGTGGACCATAATTTGAGTAGTAAAGGTCTCTTTTCATCGGAACAGAGTGTTGAAACAGTGTCAGGAAGCCACTGTTGCTAGAGTCCATATTGTCAATTCCAAGGTGGATTAGTCTGATAGGAATCGGTGTTGTAACAAGACAGCAAACCCACAACACGTCTTCTACTTTGAGAAGATGTTTCTTAGCCTGACTTTAAGATTTATCGTATATAGACTCTACTTCTCCTTTACTTTGACATTTATGTGGTAAGTAGAGACTCTTTTTCTGTGATGGTTTTTTGTTATGAATTATCTTTTGGTGTTTAAATCTTACCAGTAAACAGTAGAAATGTGGATCTTTAGTAACGAGCTATTTATTTTTCTTCCTTAGGGCATTATTTTAAGAAAAAACATGTAGCATCAAGTATTCCCTGAAATATGGATCCACTGGAATAAGGAAATATGTGCGTGGTCTTGGAAGCACAGCAGAATGTATAGAGTGGGGGAGCCAGGGCGGCGGCCGCTTCATGGGCCAGCACCCCCTCGCCTGCGGAGCGTGGAGGTGGCCCGCGGGCGAGCCGGCTATGGATTCACTTTGACCGGACAGGCGCCATGTGTGCTGAGCTGCGTCATGCGAGGGAGCCCTGCAGATTTTGTTGGCCTCCGTGCTGGAGACCAGATATTTGCTGTCAATGAAATCAACGTGAAGAAAGCTTCCCATGAAGACGTAGTGAAATTAATCGGGAAATGCTCTGGTGTCCTGCACATGGTGATCGGGGAAGGCATCGGCCACTTAGAGTCCTGCTCCAGTGACGAAGAAGGTGGATTGTATGAAGGAAAAGGCTGGCTGAAGCCCAAACTTGATTCCAAAGCTTTAGGTATAAATAGAGCAGAGAGAGTTGTGGAGGAAATGCAGTCTGGCGGAATTTTTAATATGATTTTTGAAAATCCTAGCCTTTGCACAAGCAGTTCAGAGCCCTTGAAATTGAAACAGAGATCCCTTTCAGAGTCAGCTGCTGCTCAATTTGAGGTTGGACATGAAAGTATAAATGATCCAAATCCCAATGTGGTTTCTAAGAAGGAAATATCAAAAGTTATTCATGATGATTCGGTTTTCAGTATTGGGCTAGAAAATCATGAGGATTTTGGGTTGGATGCAAGTATTTTAAACGTTGCCATGGTTGTGGGCTATTTGGGCTCTATTGAGCTTCCTTCCACAAGCTGCAGCCTGGAGTGTGACAGTTTGCAAGCGATCCGCGGCTGCATGCGGCGCCTGCGGGCGGAACAGAAGATCCATTCGCTGGTGACGATGAAGATCGCGCATGATCGGGTGCAGCTGTGTGCTGACAAAGCTGGCGTTGTGGCCGAGTACCCCGCCGAGAAGCTGGCCTTCAGTGCTATGTGCCCAGATGACAGGCGCTTTTTTGGGCTGGTGACCATGCAGACAAATGACGACGGGAGCGTAGTGCAGGAGGAGGAAGGTGCCTTGCGGACTTCCTGCCACGTGTTTATGGTGGATCCAGACTTATTTAGCCACAAGATCCACCAGGGCATCGCTCGGCGATTTGGGTTTGAGTGCACGGCCGATCCTGACACCAATGGCTGTTTAGAATTCCCTGCATCCTCTCTCCCTGTCCTTCAGTTCATCTCGGTCCTGTACCGAGACATGGGCGAGCTGATTGAGGGGGTGCGGGCCCGTGCCTTTCTGGATGGGGATGCTGATGTCCACCAGAACAACAGCACCAGCAGCAACAGTGATAGTGGCATTGGAAATTTCAACCAGGAGGAGAAGAGCAACCGGGTCCTCGTGGTCGACCTGGGTGGGAGCTCAAGCAGGCACTGCCCCAGCAGCAGCACTGGGTGGGAGGGTGCAGGCGGGAGGGGCCAACAGCCCTGGGGCGCCCCCTGGAACGGGGCCTTCTGCTCTGACCCTGAGGGGAGCTCCCCATTGGAGGCCACTCCCCAGACTGACAGGTTCCGTGACATAAACAAGCACTTAGGACCAGCCTCTCAGGTGGAGGTTGCTCCGGCTGCCTTGCGGAGTTCAGTCCCTCCTTCAAAGAGGGGCACTGCGGGCTGTGGTTTCAACCAGCGATGGCTCCCAGTTCACGTGCTCCAGGAGTGGCAGTGCGGACACGCCAGCGACCAGGAGTCATACACAGATTCCACCGATGGGTGGTCCAGCGTCAACTGTGGCACGCTGCCCCCTCCCATGAGCAAGATTCCTGCCGACCGCTACAGGGTCGAGGGCAGCTTCGCGCAGCCCCCACTGAGCACCCAGAAAAGGGACTGGTCCAGGAAGGCTTTTGGAATGCAAAATGTTTTTGGTCCCCATCGAAATGTTAGAAAGACTAAAGAAGACAAAAAGGTAAGCTGTTAGGAATAGTGCAGTACAAATACACTGACTTTATACCTTAGCCAGTTACTGATGGAATGACATGGTAATTGCAAAATTTGCAGTCCTAGTTTCCTCTGGCTGACCTTGTGGCCTCTGTCTGCTTTGCTTCTGTGCCACAGACTCTGTCTTGCCCGGAAGCCTCACCCCCACCCCCTGCTGGCCCCGGGGCTGGCCCTGGCTCTGGCAGTTGTCTTGGCTGGTGTGGGCAGAATGTCTGGGCAGGACAGGTGGTGATGAGAAGGCAGTTGACTTCTCATGGCCCAGGTCAGGCCTTCTACCCTCTGCCCACTCCTCCCAACTGCAGCAGTAGGGCCTCCTCCTTCAAAGCCCATTTTGTTTCTGACCCCACAGTCTTTGTCTCAGTGTCTGAGACAACACGTCCTTTTTGAGGTGAGAAAATTCTTGAAGTGCAGAGAACTGGGTCACTTCAGGAAAGGGGGCTTGCCCACAGCGTAAATCCTTGTGCCGCTTCCTTCAGGGACAAAGTCCTGCTGGGAGAAAATGCAGCTGAAGTCCAAGCTGGGCCCAGTGGCTCAGGCTCCTTGCCTGCCTGCTGATGGTGGACCCCACTGAGCACACACCCCGGGACCCAGACCCAGAAGCGTCACTTTGGGGCTGTGCCTTCCCATAGGAGCTAAGTTTGGAGAATGAGAGAAAGAATGAGAAAACCAGGGAGCCCTTGACAGGGACTTGGTTTAGCAGAAGGTAACGGGGCTTTGAGGCCAGGCGAGCCTCTGTTCAGAGTAGTGTGTGTTGGTGACTGGCGAGGGGAGCTTGGCCACTTAGCTCCATTTGTTTCATAGAAACTTCTCAGAGGATGTTTATGATTTTAGAATACCTTTTCTGTGTTTGGTCACATTTTCATTCCCGATGGCTGAAAATATCCTGAGAAAACCCTCCAAAGGCTACCGGCTGGTCAGGGCAGGGTCAGGGATGGAGCAGAAGCTGCGGGGCAGGGCTGAGTGCTGGATGGGTGTTTTCACTCAGGACCCCCTACCCAATTCTTAGTGTTGTTTCATCATGAAATACATTAAAGAAAATTTAAAGATGGGGAAAAGGACAGATCTTCCATAATTTTCCTCCCCAAGTGACCACGGGCAACATTTGGTTGTCTCTAAGCATAGATTTTTTTTTTTGCGTGGTTGTAATTGTGTGGGTTTTCAACCTAATTCTTAACCAGGTCGTCTAGTGGGAGGTCTGCAGTGGTGTGGCCACCCGCCCCGTCTTGTCTTCTAAGGCGGTTCTGAACCCGGGGCTGGATTCTTGGGGCAGTACCCCTCCTGCCCTCCTGGTGGTATCGCCTCTGTTCCTGCAGAGCCCCCTGTTGTGTGGTCAGGACACAGCAAGCTGGCCACGGTGTGGGCTGTCCTTGTTGGGTGGGGCACGGAGGTGAAGGGCCCTGAAAAGTGGCTAAAATGTTATTTGAAATTGGGAAATTCATCAGCTCTTTGAATACATATTCAGAAATGTGTTTATCTGTTGCTGTTGCATAAGTGATCTATTTCACTGATAGAAATAAATAGTATGTGTGTGTGTCTTTGTAGATTACAGTGCACTTTGACATACATTCTCACTGAAGTTGAACATGATTTACACACTGCAGAGCATTGTGCTATTTTAGATGATTAACAGTGGTAGTTGTGAACCTCAGGATACCCAGGAGACAGATAATTTTACAAGTGCAGTGACTGATCCTCGAGGGGTTAGTGACTTGAGAAAGGCTTAGCAGGATCGTGACCCAAACCTTGGCCTTCTTTTTAATGGTCTCTCACTTTGATCAAAAATGTATTGAAAATGAGGGTATTGGCTGTTACTGTATACACTGGAACGAAACAGAAGAACGGAATACTTTTGTAGAGTTGATATGTCTCTAGCGTTAGAAAATAATAGTTCCATGTTCGCCATGTTACAAAGTGCTTTATTACCTTGATAGCAATTCTGTGAGATCATCAGGCCTGGTGGCTTTATTTTCATTTTACTGACAAAGAAACTAAGGTTATGCGTCTTAAGTGACTTGCCCACAGTCCATGGGAAGTCAGTGCTGAGACAAAGACAGACCTCCTGCAGGGAGACTCCCGTATGTGACTCATGGTCACTGTTGTCATGTGAGGGGCTACCTGTTTTTCCAGAAGTGAATAGAAACAACTTGTGTTTCATTGAGTTCCTGCTGTAATCTCTCGAAGTTTATCTGCTGCCTTTACTTTGCTGAATGGGTTTCTCTGTGTTATTAGTTCATTCTTATCCCACACTCCCCCCAACTGGAGTGGCACAAGCATGCAGTGGTCATGAGGTAGATGAAGAGGTGGGTCCCGATGTCCCTGCTGGCAGGTTTGCTGGCTGAGCAGGCGGCAGTGACTGTCCCACAGCAATTGGGACCATCACCCGGGCGCTGGCTTGTGTGGGGCCAGAGGCTTGTCAGGAAAAGCAGAGGAGAGGCCAGGGGAACGCGGGAAGTGCCTGGAGACGGGGAGAGGAAGAGGAGACAGTAGGGGCTGCAGAGAGAGGAGTGGTTGAGTCTCATGTCACTAAATTCTTCTCAGTGGCAGCAGTGGCCTAAATGCCTTACTGTGCACAGCTCAGGCCGGTCAGCCAGCATCGGCCAGGAGGCAGAGAGCTTTCTTAATTCTGTATGCAAAAAGGCCAACACTAGAAGAAATACATTGCTGCATTAGTTACGGGTTGGTCTCTAAGTCCTATCGGTTCTGTGTCCCAGCCGTCACTAGATGCATCTCTTCATTACTCTCCTTTGCCAGTGCTTTTGTCCTGCCTCCTCAGTCCCCCGCCCCCTAAGCTCAATGTGCATTTTGACTTCCTGTACCAGCTGCTCCCATGGAAGCCCATTTTTCCCACTCCTCCCTGCTCAGGGGGGCGCCTCTCTGCCTAGGCCTCTTTATTATAACTCCCCAGCGGGAGGGTGCAGAAATGGACCTGCCCCTCCGCTTAGCATTTTGACCTCTACCTGCTGATGTCAGAAGGTCTAACTCCCCGTACACGGACCCAGTAATGTTCTTGAATCGACTCATCCTCCTCAGTGTTCTTGTTCCTTTGAGGAGGAATGAGGAGATGGGAGCTCAGTCCTCTCTGACTTAGCCAAGTGCATGAACTTCTTGAAATGAATTAAATAATGTTCACAAATAGATGCTTTTCCATTTTGTTTACTTTGCCTTTTCTTCTCGCTTAATGTCTGTAACCAGCAGAAGTTGATACTAGTGGAAATAAATTTTAAAGTCTATGACTAACAAAAGGGATTGACGTGAGAGAGAGAAAGTCTATGATCTTGAAATGCTGTCTGTATCATCAAAAATATTTAATTTGAGGTCAGGCTATTTAATTCTGCTTCTTTAAAAACAGATATTCTAAGAATAATATTAATTAAAATATCTGGTTAAGTAGCAAAATCCAAATTTTTAAACTTTCCATATAGTGGATTTTGGAAAACTTTAAAATGAAAATGTTATTTATGATAACTTATAAAGGGTTTATTGTTGTTGTCTGGAAATGAATGAATAAATATCTAAAAATTTCTCAGTTTGATTTCTGTGGAAAATATCAACAGATGAAACCCAGAAAGACAAAAGCTCTGAGGGTGCTCAGTGGTTTTTAAGGGCGTGCAGGTGTCCTGAGGCCGCAGCGTGTGACACCGCTGCCACGGAGGGCCTCTTGCGGGTCACAGACGGATGGATGGACATCCAGGAGGGAGTCGGCTCCAAACCATTTCTTTCTAAAAGTAAGACCCATTAACAGGAGAGTGGGAGAACAGATTATGGGGCGCACTTGAATACCAAAGAATTACATCTGTCCTCAGGGCCGGGCTGGAGGCAGACTCGGTCAGTTCCTACGCTCCTGTGTTCCTGTGGGTGGGTGTGCACACGGGCTCATCACCTGGCTCTCTATTGCTTATGTGCAGCAAAAATACCTAAAGTTGAGTATGATTCTGAGAAATGAGAGAAACAAACCGCGTGGAAGCGTGAACCGAGCGTGCTGTGTCCGCCTCTCCTCCCCCTGATACCTGAGCTCACTGCAGCCACGGCTCCCAGTCTCCTCCGCGGACTTGCCATGACAGGCGACCTCCCACATCCTCTTCCCTCTTCCCTGCTGTCTCCTAGGACACCTCCTCATGCACGCGGCTGTGCATCCGTTCACACAGCTCTGCCTCATTCGTTAGGTGGCACATCGTGTTACTCTGCATATCTGTGCCACCTTTCATTTAATCTGTCGCCACTCGATGGGCGCTTCAGGTTGTTTCCAGACTTCATTATAAACTGCTGCAGTAAAAATCTTAAAGTTAATATCTTTGTGTATATGTGAGTATATCTTTGGGGTAAATTCTAGATGTGGAATGGCTGTTTTTAAAAGCATAAGTGCATTTTTAATTTTGCCAAATTGCCCATCAAAGAGGTTTTCCAATTTATATTTCTATCAGTAGTGTGTGTGTGAGAATGCCCATTTCTTTTTTCTTTTTTTAAGGAGAATTTTTATTATTTTTAAGTACAGGAAACTCAACAGTGTACATTTAAGCCAGTTCAGTGGTGAGTTCTTTGGCCGTTGCCTTTTCCAACTTGGCTGTGCAAGCTGGAGTCTGGACACAGAATGTCACTTCCCCAGCGATGGTGTGTCTTGTCATTTCCTCCATTGCAGGTGGTCCTGACAGCTTCTACCAGCCCAGCCAGCATGCCACTGTCTCCGAGTTAACCTGTGTGAAGGCCCCGGTGGAGAAATATGCCAAAAGAAAGGGGTAACCGGTCCCAAAGAAGCTCAAAACCCAGCAGGGCAGGCATCAAACCTCAGAGCTGAAGAATGACCTCTCTTGACTCCCCATCCAGCATCTTCTGCACACTGGTGTGGGGGTTGGGCCTCCATGTCCTCAGGCGGCCCTGCTGAAATTAGATGTAAATGAGAGGAGCTTATTGGGACCTGGGTTATCCTTATTATGAACTGGCAAAGAACTTGGCTGAGAAGAACCTGAACAG